GTTCAAGGGGAAAAGCTCAAGCTATTGTTCAGAATCCCAGTTACATATTTCCTAGCTGGATATCTTTGACTTATTTATCTTTTTGACAAGTTACTTATTTATCTTTTCAATTTTCTTATCTATAAACTAAGAACTGTAGTGGGCTGTGAGATTAAAAACAAAGTATGTTCAGCATTTAGTTAAGAGTCCTCAGACTTTTTTCTCCTTAATCTCATCTGCTGCTCCCTCTTCTGAAAATTCAAATGCAAAATCTGAGAGGAAGCCAGGACAGGCCTAACAGACCCATCAATCCCACTGTGTGAATGAACTCCATTTCTCTGGAAACCGGTTGGCTTATGTTGTACATATTCCATACTTCTGATATATGGGTGGCTTTGGAGGCTTGGGATCTTTTTTCCACAAAATATATTTTTATTGGTTTCTAGGAGGAAGAGAGGAGATAGATAAAAACATCAATGATGAGAGAATCATTAATTGGCTGCCTACTGCACTATTCACACTGGGGATCGCTGCTTCCTGCATGATCCACACTGGGCATCAGGCCCACAACCCAGGCATGTGCCCTGACCGGGAATTGAACCAGTGACCTTCTGGTTCATAGGTGGATGCTCAACCACTGAGCCACAAAGGCTGGGCCAGGCTTGGGATTTTTAGTGGGTGTTAAGACTGCTAGGTATTGCCTTGAAGTGTCTTCCCCTCATTGAACATTAATTTACCCCTCTGGATCACTTCCAGCCCAAATCTAGAAAATGGATAAAACAGTATGTTCCCCAGGTTCCCTTTGTTTCAAAGTATTTCCTTTTGTGAATTAGTTGTGGTTTTTTATCTTTTTAAAAAGCAGCAGATTCCTTTGTTCAAATGAAATCTTAATCAGAGGCCTAATATGTAAGAGAGAAAGGTGGGCCTTGCATTGGTTGAAGCAGAGACAGCCCAACCACTGCTGTCTCTATTCCTTTACCTCCCATACATGCCTCCTCCCTGTCACCCCCTCCTTCCCCCACACCCCTCCCGGGCCCCTGAAAAGACTGATGAACCTATATTTCTGAATCCTGTTCACTCATCCCAGCCACTTCTCACTGCTCACCAGTCTATGAGAACACAGCCCAGCTTTGTCCTTGGTTACCTCTATTAATCACAATCTTTCACAGGCTTTTCTTCATCCTCCCTTAAATGTTGGTGGCTCTCAAGGGTCTCCTCTCTTCTTGCCCTCTTCATTCTTCTCTGTTCTCACCCACTTCCAAGGATCCTAGCTTCTATCCAAACTAAGTCCCCAACTGACATTTCCAGCACAGTATCTGCCGTGAACATCAGACTCCGTATGTCCACTGGCTGCTGCCCACAGAGCAGGTATTCACTAAAGGTCAAGGAAGTAAAACAGAGACCCCACAGGACAAACAGGCTGACCTAGGCTCAGCTGCACATCTGTAAATCATGAGGTTTGGACAACTACATTAGCTTAGAGACATAACCAGGTTCAGATGTGGGGGAGGAGTAGAAAGAAGTGAACCTGGAGTGGGGGATGGGCACTGTGCACTCTGACCATCTCTCTGCATCTCACTGTCTTGATCTTCATCTTAGTACTAACAACTACCAGGAACATAGCATCCTAAATTGTTGAAAAAGAATCGCTGCTCCCAGTCAACTATGTCCATGTTGGCCTTAGAAGAAAAAATATGGGTGTAAAAGATTGCAGCATGTAGATTTAACTTAAACAGAAGGAAGCATTTTATGAAAGCTGTGATGACAGGCAGAGAGAAATTAAACACTGCAGCAAGTTTCTGAGTTCCAGATTTCTATTTGTGAAGAAGACCTAGTCTTTGTGGTTAAGAGCAGTGAAGTTGAATATGTTTAATATTCACCACTATTTTGTGATGGTAACTATGGGAGCAGATACCTCCCAAGAGAAAATCTGGTTCCCAAGCTTTAGCTCGTGCCCTCGGTAAGCTAACAGTACTAAGTGGGTAGTGACCAAGACCTGAGACAAATCTATGACCTTGGTGGGAGCTTGGGTCCTTAGTTGGTTCATTCCTTGACTCTAAGTCACTCTGTCTGCCCCACATGGAGCAGCATGAAAGCCTTAAAGGTCTATGGATTATAGGGTTATTTGACCTCTTTTCCAAGTTGGGGGCCAAGTGGGTAGAGAACTGAGTGAATATGGGGAAGTGGGAATTGACCCACCTGGAGAAGGTCCTAATGGTTCCTCTGCATATATTCACTTCCAGCAAAGAACTAGATCCTTCGAATTGGAGGGCCTGTAGTAGGATCATCTAATGTGGCCTCTTATTTTACCAAAAGAAGCTAGGACTTGACTTGGGTTAAGTGGTGAGACCTCAAAATTACCAAATAGCTCAGTCACTCTAGGCAAGCTTTTCTATCTGGCCCACCTCCCTCCAGATCTCTGATTTGTGCGTTTCCATATGTGTGTCTGGTTATTTCTAGAGAGGGGACACCTTTAAGGACAGGAGTCCCATCTTCCTCAAGCTACAATGCTAAAATAGTCCAGCTTCCCAAGAACCAGTCCCATTTTGTCATTTACCTGCAAATGGTGACGTGGAGACTGACAATGACGGATCTCTTAGGCTGTGAGTGCTGGGGCATCTTTCACCTCGGGAGTCCCATCCTAGCTTACAGGGATGGGCAGGATAAAGGGACCAATGCTAGCAGAAGTATAAATTAGGTGAAAAATAGCAATCAAATTAGAATAGAAGCCTGAGTTAGACCATGATGCTCTCTTCCCCGAACACTTTTTCATCTTATGTTCGCAACTGTACAATCCAGCATTTGATTGTGGGTTCTCTTGCTTTGTTCACCAAATCTCCTGTGTGAAAGCCTTGACTTCCTGAACAGATTTGGGGCTTCTTTTCTGTCTTCCCCTTTTTTGCCTCCTTTAACACTTAAAACGGATAGGCTCACACTGAGCCTACTGATTATCTTCCCAGTGGTGAAAGCTACAAGTAACTATGGTAATGGGGCTGTTGATCTCTTTCTTTAAGATTTGGAAGACATCAATTTACTAACCTTCCTCAGAGTCAGGGATATGGACAAAGACAGTGCTTCCGATACCTGGCTTATTCTGTCAGTTACTTAATCACGTACTGGGCAGGATCCAGGCATCTGCATCTTTATGGAGCTCTTGCAAGTGATAACTTCGCCAACACTCAGACATGCAAGGAGGAGCTCATGAGTAACCTGAATTTACAGAGCAATGGTTTACAGCCTCTTCAAATAAATGACAGTTCAAGTCTACTTCCTACAGATAGATCCTTTATAATTTAATCCTATTTCCTATACATTTCACCAAAACCCTGCCCCTCTCTGATCTCTCAGATTTCAGGTATCTCTGTTCAGCACTTATGCTTTTTGCCACCAAGAGAATAAAAGAATCATCCAGAAAATGATCAGTCATTTTCTGGCTTAATTATTTTCTCTACAGTTCAGCTCTTAAGTCAGAAACTCAAGAAAAATTTGTTGGCAGATTCAGGAGATGAATCCTTAGAGGGAATCTAATGTAAGAGTAAACATTAACAGCAGGTACTTTGGAATCAGATGGTCCAGGTTCTTAGTGGCAAACTAATTTTCCTGTACTTCAGTTTTTTTTCTCCTGTCAACACCTACCTCAAAGGTTGTTTTGGCCCTAGCCAGTTTGGCTCAATGGATAGAGCGTCGACCTGGGTCTGAAGGGTCCTGGGTTCGATCCCAGCCAGGGGCGCATGCCTGGGTTGTGGGCTCGATCCCCAGTAGGGGGCATGCAGGAGGCAGCCAATCAATGATTCTTCTCTCTGAAATCAATAATATATATATATATATATAGAGAGAGAGAGAGAGAGAGAGAGAGAGATAGATATATATTTTAAAATTTTAGGGTGAATGAAATAATACCTAGAAAGTACTTTAAACACCTGGACAGTCAAGCACCCAGTAAATGTTAACTGCTATAATTTTTAAGAACACCCCAATATTTGCACACACTCCAGGCCAGAACAGTCCCAGCTTGGCAGGCTGTCAATAGGGAGTAGCTCTCTGGCATGGGGAGTAGGCCTGTATGGATAAAGCTTCTTGTTCCATTCTAAGAGAGAGATGCAAGTGACTCAAGATCTTCCCACAAACACGAGTGTACCCATAAGCATGTAGTGTCCCTAGGAAAATCACCCCTTCAGTACTCTACAGACCTAAAGACCCTACACAAGGAGATCTTATTTGGGAGAATCAGTCACCAACTCTGTCACCCTTCTAGTCTACTACATGCAACATGAGCTCAAGATCAATGACCTGGAATTTTAAGAACTGTTTATGCTCTGAAAGAGAACTACAAAAAGATGTAGTTTCAAAAGACAAAACACTATATTTTTGAGAAAGCATTACAGTGAAGAGGCCAAAGGCTTTGTAAGCAGACCAACTTCAGCTCTAGTTCTAGAGCAAATCACTATAACCCTCTGGACCTTACCTCCTTCATCTATATAGAAATAGAATGGAGAGAGAATAATCTTTCATTGGATTATTGTAAGGTTTGAATGAGGTAATGAGAAGAAAAGCACCAAGCATAGAGATTGGCACCCCATAAGCACTCAACTGGTACTGATTCCCTATTTCTGCCCAGAGCTAAGGTCATGGCCTACAGGTATGGCCTACAGCAGTGATGGTGAACCTTTTGAGCTTGGCGTGTCAGCATTTTGAAAAACCCTAACTTAACTCTGGTGCCGTGTCACATATAGAAATTTTTTGATATTTGCAACCATAGTAAAACAAAGACTTATATTTTTGGTATTTATTTTATATATTTAAATGCCATTTAACAAAGAAAAATCAACCAAAAAAATGAGTTCGCGTGTCACCTCTGACACGCGTGTCATAGGTTCGCCATCACTGGCCTACAGGTATGACTCTCAGATATTGAGGCCTTGGGTCCCTCCCTGCCTCTCCATCCCTCCCAGACCAGCTCTTACACCCTTTCCTTACCTTCCCAGCCCCACAATGCTACCAAATTGATGAAGCTAAAAGAATTTGATCATGTCAGTATATTTATATGTAAACACAAAACTATTGGTATAAGATACTGAATATGAACATTTACAATTATTTTCTGAATCTGACTCAATCCATTGACATTAAATACAAAAGGAATAGATTGTAAAATAAGAACATATACATTCAAGAGCTTATTACAGTATAAAATTATCGAGGTCTGATCAGCTACCAACCTCATCTGTGATGGAGGAAGCTTTAAGGGTTCCTGGGATTTTCTTGGGAATATAGAGCACTGGGGACTCGATTCCATCCCTGGCACATCAGGCTGGTAGGCTGGGAGCAGACAGGGATAGGTTGGGTGAATGGGAAGGAAATAGTAATTGCAGGGGGACTGCTATACCCAGCCGGGAGTTAAGATTTTTTCTGTCACAGAGCCCACCCAGCTTGAGCGCCAGGGTCTGACAGGCTACTAGGCAGAAAGAAATGGTTATTTGAGTGGATAGGACCAAGCTGCATAAGGAAAGGAACCTTTTGGTAAAATAAAAAGGGACCCTAGCACATTCTCCCAGGGAAAGATTCTCATGGTAGTTTTCTTTCTCATAACTAGGCTCCTTCTCTTTCCTTCTAAGAAATTGCTTTTGGCTCTGGCTGCTCAGTGAGTTCATCTCTACTCCCAGGCTCCAATCCCCGAGGGATAGGAAGAGAAAAGAGAATCACAGTGGAGGTCTATTACCAAAATCAGCAAAGTAAACGGAGGAAACCATTAGGTAAGGGCAATCCATACTGAATTAAACCAGTGTCACCACAAACCAGTATTTTTGGCTCCAAAAGGTAGCATTCTGGAGTGAGATAAGTCATGACGTAAGGATGAAGGCCTGTGGCAAAAACACGAAGAGTAGATGTACCGGTGTCCTCTTCCACCACTTTGTGGTCTGACAACAGGAGACATGATCCCCAACCCCAGCTAGTCCGGGATAAACAGTAGGGCACAAGAAGCAACGAGTCCTAAACTGCAACATGGAGCCCCAGAAACTTTTATAAGGGAGTAACTGTGTGTATATGTATTTATAGAATACCACCATATTGTCACATACAATATATATTATATACACACGTACATATGGACCCATACACATAAGTGCACATACACACACACACACACACACACACACAGAATAACAGAAGAGACTCGAATACACGCTCTAGGTATAAACGTGCTTGGCACTCGGGACGTTCTCTAGAACATATAACTTGGTCAAGCTTTCTGGGAAGGAAGATGGATGCTCACCAAACCTCCCCATCAAATCCTAGCAATGGGGAAGGAATGGGAAAGGGACCTCCAGAAGGAGAAGGCATTGGGAAAGGGGGAGGGAGTTTCCTTTCCCACTTACCTTGCTTAGAGCCTCTGGCAAAAATCAATAGCCACAATTTGGTTTTAATAAGGCACAGTTCAATGGCAGGTGCTAGGAATTAAGAACACATTGCTGCTGGCCCTTTCTAGTAACCATTTCACCATATCTACCTAGCCAAAGGGAAAGGCTGCCTTGCACCGGGAGTCTGGAGTACACCGGGAGACACAAGAAAGAGGTTCATCCATGGCTTCAGTGTAACTGATGGCAGCCTCTAGGCTCAGCGGTGTCCAGGGAGTTTAAGGAAGAAGGCTGGCTAGCAGGAGGAGGTTCATGGGACAGTTACTGACTCTCCATAGCCAGGATGTTGTGGCTGGATGGCACCATGCCCTCCCTTTCTGCGAACTCCAGGATTGCCTTGTAGCAAAAATAGTACTGCTCAGGGGTCTGGATACTGAAGGCCCTCTGGGTCCTCATGCGGGACACCGTCTGGAACACATTAAGGGTACCAAGCTCCTCCAACTGTGCCAGGCAGATGTCCAGTGAGCAGAAGGTACCTGAAGGAAGAAAGGAAGTAGTCATATCTGACCTACCTCTCTTCTCCCCACCCTTCTACCAAATAACCCAGGGAGGACTAGATTACTGAATTTATAGGCAAGGGGCCTTAGGCCTGAAAGGAGTCAAGGAGGAGGGCACAGTGAGTGCTGGAAGCCAGAGAAATGAGAGGGCATATATATGGAGGTAATAGGAAGAGGTGGGAAAGTGACAATCTTGATAGAACAACAGCCCTCCCACACCTGGGCCCTAATTTTCAGACTCTACAATTTCTCCATAGAGGCCTAACACAAACCTAGTCTTCCTGACCTTCTCCCAAAGGGATCTCTGACGAGAAATGCCAGCAGTCCCTTCAATAATCATCCCCTTAAGGCTAAAGTTGCTAACTGGATCCAGAATGGAGAGATAAAACAAGGTGGAGACCTCCCCAGGGAGAGAGATGGGAAGGAAGCAACAGCACAGCTGAGCTCTCTGAGACACCCAGGTGACTGATGGGGTCAGAAGATGATCATGCTGATGGATGTATAAAGCATCAACCCCCAGAGGACTTGGCTTGTGAAGTGTATGTTCTGGACACACACTTAGCACTAGGGATACTAAAAATACATTAAAGAAGAATTTTCAATGGCAATTCACCACCACTGGACCAAATTCTCTCAACCTGGCAAGGGAGCTTGGTT